AGAAATCACCCCCCAGGGGGGATGGTCACGCCGCAATCCCTTCTCCTCCATTCTCCTCTCGGGATCTTGGGCACGCACGCACACGCACCCGGCGTGAGTTTTAAGCCACCGGGTCCGGGACACGAACCGCGGTCGACTACGTGGGAGTCCAGCGACATAGCCATTATGCTAACTGCTGGTTCCCCTTTCCATTAACTTTTTGAAGTCCCAAAAGTTTAAGTATATGTAGGTAGACAGCAGGGAATCACTTGAGAATTTTGAGTAAGAGCATGCCAAAGAGTATTTGGGGGGCCCGGTGAGCTGGCGGTTTTGTGTGAGTGGATTGGTGTGGGAGATTGAAGGCAGGCCCTGAGATTGATCAAGAGTGAAGAGTTAGAGGTCAGCTAGGGGAATGAAAAGATTTGAGAACGGCCACAAGAGTCAGGAAAATGGTTTGATAGAACAGAAATGGACTAGAATGGGAGGAGGGTTGAGGATAACCTCCAGGCAGTGGTTTTCAGATTTTCTCACAGATGAGAAATCCCAAGGGTGTTTATTTACAGTTGATTTCTTCCATTAGAGAGAGACAGCACCCCTGACAGAGCCCACTCCTAGTTTCAGCCAGCCCTGGAGCAAGGGCAGAGCATGCTGGTGTGCTCAGGGTCTCTAGACAACCTGGAACCTTCCCATGAGATTGGCTTTACTATTGTCCCACAGTATGGCCCCCAGGGAACTTGTTTAAAATGTAAATTCTAGATCTCTTCCCTTCAAAAAAAAAATAAGTCCCCCTGAAGCCAGATAGCAGCTAAAATGCAAAACATGATGCTCTTCATGCCAGACCCCCATGGGAAAGTGTCCAGAGACCTGCCTGAGTACGTCGGACATTCTGTTTGTGATCCAGCCAGCCGAAGTTGGGGGTTAGATCTTGGCACCCAGAACCTTGTCAGGGGTGCTGTATCTCTGCCTTTCTGTCTCTCACTTGGAATGAATAAATTGGAAAAGGAAAGGAAAGAAAAGGTTCCAATTCCAGAAGTTAGGAGTGACACCTGGGATCTATATTTTTAAAGTTTATTTTACTTTTTATTTATTTTCATAAGAGAGATAGGTACCCTCGGCAGGGTTTTACCATTCCTTGATCCTCTCTCTAACCTCCCAGTCAGTTAGGATCATGGGGTACACAGGTGCAGGATCCGAACCTGGGCCTCTTCTGTGGCATCAGTATCTTGCAGCAACCTCCAACCACCTGTGACTCTGCAGCTGGGCCATGGACTCTGTATTTTCAAAAGGCACCCCAGATTTAGTGGTAAGTTCTGTTTTTAAGAAACCTTACTCCAGAGGCCAGCAGGTGGCATAGTAGTTAAGGAACTGGACTGCCACATGGCCGACCATGGTTGAAGTCTCGGCCTGGCAGCTTGAAAGTCACACTTGGGTGCATGTATGTGTGCATGCCCAGAATCCGGAGTGGAGAATGGAGGAAAAGAGATTGCGGTATGACCATCCCCCCCGAGGGGCGATTTCTCTCCCTCTGTCTCACTCTCACTCTCGCCCTCCCTCTCTAGTCAGCACATGTGCCCTATGACAAAAAGAAGAAAAAGAAGAAAGAAAAGAAACCTTACTCCAGGTTTCAAATCTGGTAGATTTAGAGGACTTTAAAATGCAGAAGAGGACAGGTCTGGATAGAGAGGCCGATTTAGGAAGTAAATGCTGTGTGTCAGGTCGGTCTGGTCCAGAGTTTGGAGAGAGGGTCGTCGTTTCCCCCCTCTGACGTTTTACCCGCCCAGGGCCATCGGGAGGCAGAACGGAGTGGGATGCACAGAGAACAGCAGAGAACACACATAGCCATTTTGGATTTTAAGGATTTGTTTCCTTTTTATTTTTCAGTATTTTTCATTTCATTTTTCACATCAACAGAGTTGGGTTTAGGGTTCCCCAGGAGAGCAAGGGAGTTGAATGGGTCCCTCCAGGGGTGCAGGGGAGAGGGCTACGTCCAGCAAGTGAGGGGTGCGGGGAGGGCACACACTCGTACACTGGGCACTGGAGGAGAAGGCAGTCCTTGGAGCACAGACACCAAAGAGTTAAACAGTCACCACCTGGTTCAGTGTTACAAAATGAGGGGAGTGACTGTGGGGTAGGGGCACCAGACGCAGCATGAGGGGGTGAATTTGGATTTTCTTTTTTGTTGTTATTTTCACTTTTCTCCTTTTCACTTTTTTTTTTTTTAAACATTTTACAAACAGCTAAAAACTACAACACGTCACAGCTACAGTGGGGGTTGGGGAGGGCACCAAAGAAAGCGGCCCCACGAGTAGGAGTGGGGCTAGGAGTAGGGTGGGGCAGGGCAGCTGAACTACAAGAGGCTGCTGTGTGGGAGGGAGAGTGGGAAACAGGCTTCTGGTCCCTGCATTAGGGGTCCCTCACTACTGCCCCACCTCTCCCTCCTGTGAGAGGAGTTGCCAGGAGGCCCGCGTCCTGCCCCTGCCCCTGCCCCAGCTCCTTGTGCTTTTTGAGCTGCTGGTTTGACCATATGCCTGGTTTCTTCCACCAGCTCCCCTGCCTGTCAGGGGACAGGCTGGGGGCGTGGGAGGCAGCTGTGCTGTTCTGGTCTGTGCTATGGCGGGTAGAGCCCTTCACTCCAGAATAGGCCTGTGCTTCTTGAGAGGGGAGGCAGAGATGGGCCTTGTTGGGTGCCCTCAGATCTCCTTAGACTGTGACACTCCTACCCCAGCCTGGCCTAGAGCTTCTCCCTCCCAGGCCTGACACAGAAACAAGATGGGGGAGGGGACTACGGAGGCAGGGTTGTGTGTGTGTCCATTGAAATTACCCTTGGCTTATATTTTAGGACAGTATAGTGACACCCCCACCCCATGGCGTGCACACACACACACACACATACACACGCAAATGCACACACACATTCACACACACACAGTCCTGCTGAGCTGCCTCAGAACTTAATATATAAATAAATAAAAATGGGGAAGCTAATTTCATAAAATTTTAGGCTTCCTATTTGTAGCCCAAATTGAGGGGGAAGTGGAGGCCAGGGGGCTGAGGTTTATTGCTACTCCCCCAGCATCCAATGAGAGGTGTGAGCAGGTACCCAAGGCCCTTCCGACTCTAAGAAGTTCTTTTGGTCCATGGTCTACTGAAGCCCCAGCCCCTAGCATTAACTATATACCCGGGCCTGCACCAGGGCCTGTGAGGGCGAAGGCAGGAAGTTCCGGGACCCCTGGAGCAGGGAAGCAAAGGCCCCTCACTAACACTGGGGCAGACGGTGACCCTCCTCCCCCAGCCTGGCCTAGAGCTTCTCCCTCCCAGGCCTGACACAGAAACAAGATGGGGGAGGGGCCTACGGAGGCAGGGTTGTGTGTGTGTCCATTGAAATTACCCTTGGCTTATATTTTAGGACAGTATAGTGACACCCCCACCCCATGGCGTGCACACACACACACACATACACACGCAAATGCACACACACATTCACACACACACAGTCCTGCTGAGCTGCCTCAGAACTTAATATATAAATAAATAAAAATGGGGAAGCTAATTTCATAAAATTTTAGGCTTCCTATTTGTAGCCCAAATTGAGGGGGAAGTGGAGGCCAGGGGGCTGAGGTTTATTGCTACTCCCCCAGCATCCAATGAGAGGTGTGAGCAGGTACCCAAGGCCCTTCCGACTCTAAGAAGTTCTTTTGGTCCATGGTCTACTGAAGCCCCAGCCCCTAGCATTAACTATATACCCGGGCCTGCACCAGGGCCTGTGAGGGCGAAGGCAGGAAGTTCCGGGACCCCTGGAGCAGGGAAGCAAAGGCCCCTCACTAACACTGGGGCACGGGGAGGGCAGGGCCTCTTGTGCAAATTCAGGGCGGTAGGAGGTGGGGAGTAGAGCTTCATCCCATGCCTGGAATGAAGGAGCCTTCCCTGTAGTCCCTGCCCACGGGGTCACACACATGCACACGCACACGCGCACACAGCTAAGACGTCGAACACGGGGGTGGGAGTGAGGACTGTGGGCCTGGATGGCAGGGCAGGGGCGGGAAAGGAGGAGTTGGTCTCACAGTGTGCCTGCCACCCCCAAGGCCCCAGACACCCCCTCACTGCAGCACCTGCCCCCGGGTCTCGGGCAGCTTCAGGGCCAGAGAGCTGCCGAGGGCAAGGGCAGCTGAGGCGAAGAGGATGGGGGCAGCCTTAGTGATGCCCACAAAGGATGTGAAGATGCTGATCCCCAGCACAGCCGCCAGCTTGCACAGAGCGTTCAGGAAGCCGAAGGCTGTGGTCCTGCTCAGGAGTCCCCAGTGCAGCACGTGCAGGGCCAAGAGGGGAGATGGAGGAAGAGTGGGGGACGGGGGGGGG